TTAATAAATATAATATAATATATATTTATTAATAGTAGATAGCCAGTCAATTAAAAATATATATAAAAATATATATTATATATTATATTATATTAATAAACTTTTGTCATTTAATTTAACTTAAGCATATTTAAACGTGACTTCTTGAATGCCATTTATATTACATGAATGTCAGTTAATGTGATTTTTATTAATCAATTGATTTAAGTTTAACTGTGGTGCATATCGAAAAATGGAAATACAGTAGAGCCTCGATTATCCGACCTAATTGGGGACTGGGGTTGGTCGGATAATTGAAAGGGCAGATAACTGAAAAGTATGGAAAAATCTATTATTAGTGTAGTATATTATTATATCCCATGTAATTGGTGTATTAGTATATTAGTATATCGCTATTAACCTACTTTGCGTTGAATTTTCATCGATGTTAAGCCTAACAAAAATTTTTTAAAATAATAATCGTCGTTATTGTATCGTTAAAAATTAGAAAGTTAAGCCTCATTTAAATACTGGCTCCCTTTCATGGTCGAATGAGTGTTGCNAACTGATACAAATTTTTATTTACTGATATTCATTTTAACAATTATTACAATGAAAAACAGAAAATATTGATACTTTGGTAGATAATGTGCTATATTTTCTAACATAACAAGCAAAATAAATTTATTTTAATCAAATTTGTTTGTTTATAAATGTTGATTCAAAAATATATACATCTAAATAAAATGGTAATATCAAAATAATAAATTGAAAATCTGTAATATTCTAAATTCCAAAATTAGAATACAGTCAAACCTCAGGTTTGAACTGAATTCATTCCTAAAAGTTGTTTGAAAACTGAAACAAATTTTCTCATTAGAAACAGTTTAAAATGGATTAATCTGTTCCCAACCCCCAAAACAAAACCTGTTTTTTTTTTTTTATTTTATTTTTTTAGCTGTATTTCATGCATAAAAATGCTTATAAAGGCAATATAATATATTTTATCTATATGTATTTATAAATATCTGTAAATATATTAAAAGCAAAATCTTCTGTCCCCACTGAAACTGAAACCAACACTTTACAAAGAAGCAGCATGTAACAGTTCACACTGGGTTGCCTGTGAGATCTACAATTTGTTCCTTGAAAGGACCACCCGTAAACTTCCTCTGTGGACTCAGCATGGACTCATGGAAAAGATTAACAAAAGGGAAGGAAGGTCTCTGCATAAGAATAGCAGAGACAAAAAGATTACTTTTGACTCTGAGTTGAAAATACAGCTAATTGTTTGTCCTGTAGCAACTGTTCTCTAAGTTTGAGTTTTGAATAATAACCTTTGGTTATATACAGATATGCAGGTTTAGTTTTTATATTATTTTTAATAATTTTTATTTGTATATTATATATTAAAAGCAAAATGTTTGTCATCGCCCCACACAAATAATGTAAATTTAAAAATTAGTTGATTTACAATTTGAAAATTTCAAAACAACTTTTAAACAGTTTTTAAAAATTTTTTAATTTTCAATTGATTTGATTTTATTTTAAATTTTGGTTTCAGTGTCAATGGGTAAAGTTTTAATTATTACAGTAATACCCCGAACTTACACAATAAGTGGGACCAAGCGATAACTGCGTAAGTCAAATTCGTGTAAGTTGGGGTATAATTTCGCATTTAAATACATACAAATAATTTTTAATTGGGACTGGAAACTAAAGAAAACAATAATTTAGAAAATAATGTTTAATAAAATCTTAGATAATACATAAGTATAACAAATTATATTATTATACAATTTTTTGCATTTACTTGATTATCACACCATAATTTTAACATTGTTTCTATCTCAGCAATAATACCATGATGTTTATGAATGATGCTTGAATTTAAAGATTGAGCATTTTTCTCAGCTTCGAGAATTTTTTCTTTGCCTTTTATAATTGTTCTGACCATCGATTTTGGTAGATCAAACTTCTTTGCCAATTCACAAATTTTCATTTTTGTATCGAATAATTATTAAAGAATCATTATTAAAGAATTTGATACAAAAATGAAATTTTTGTATCAAATTCTTTAATAATGTTAACTTATATTCCAAAGATAAAGTTTTTCTTTTCTTGTTTGATGCAGAAGAATCAGTTCTACTTTGTTTGAATGGCATAGTAGAGTCTCTCAAGTCTCCATAGATATAACAAACACAGATATAAATAACACAAAATAAATTGTATCTATATTCCGATTCCGCGTGACACGTTCAAACATGTAAGCCAAACAATAGTGTGGGGGGGAGTGAGTAATCAAAAGCTGTGTGGCGCTCAAACAAAAGACGAATTGACAAGATTTGAAAATTGCGTAACTCCTGGTTCGAGTAAGTCGGTAGCGTAAGTTGAGGTATTACTGTATTTTTATTTTTAATTAATTTTTGGTTTAATTTATTTAGTATTAATTTAGTTTTAGTTTTTATAATTTATTTAATTTTGCCTGCATTTTTTGAACCCTTAATTACAATTTTTTAAATTAATTGCACCTGTTTTTTTCTTCTGTGACATAACTATAGAAACTGTTTTAGTGTTGTTTGCCAAAAAGATAATCAAATTTAAACTTATTATAATTTTTTAGTAATTTCATTAATTTTTGTTCTATAAATTTGTCTGCTTTTTTAAAAAAAATATTATAAGCGAGTGAACATTAATTGAACTGTCAAGTTACCTGGTATATATTAAAAACAAAAGTGTTCCATCACTGCCAACTAAGGAGTGCTATAAGTAGAGACTCAATTCTGACAGCCTGCATAATATATAACCAAATCAATGAAGACAGACAAGTACTTTATCCACACTTTCCAAAATATTATGTTTCAGTTGATTTGATTTNGGACATTTGAAATTTGCCGACTAGGACGGTCGGTTAACCGAGGGGTCGGTTGATAGGGGGTCGGATAATCGAGGCTCTACTGTAGTATCTTTTCGGCATGTACATTGAAATCTGATTTAAATAGCAATGTCTTCGATGATTAATATCGTGACATGAGGTGATCTGAGTGCCACTAACTTCTGAATCAGTAGTTGGTTGGGCCAACAACTTTCTTTAACATAAGAAGTATAGGAAGTTGACCATCAGAGGCCAGCATTGCTGAGTAGCTTGTTCGGCAACCGAGTTATTGTACAGCAACTGGGGCAAAAATGAATTAAAAATTTTGTTCGTAAACTGAGTTATTCAAATAGCAAAGCATTCAAAACCTGAGATTTGAATGTAATTAAAGAAATGTTAATAAATTAAAATAAGATATAAAATTATAGATATTTGAAAAAAAAAGTTAGCCCAAAAACGAATATGGTGATGTTTATAAAGTTAACTATTAAATATTTTTGAATAAATTGCAATTTTACCATATATAATGACAAAAATAAACTAAACTGTAAAACTTTTATACTGTACTAGTTGTTTAGTAGTTCCAGAGGAATTTTAAGAATTATTGAGCAGTTCTTAAAATTTGAAACTTCAACTCTTAGATTTAATATGTATTCAAATGGTATAAAATTGTTGAACAATACTTTTATATATTTTTAAAATGTATCACTGATGTAAATTGATACATTTGATATATCATATATGAAATGTAAAAGTGATGTGATGATATGATATATATTTAAATAAATAGTGAGAGTAGATTACTAGATTTAATAATCTTTCTTTTAACATTATATACTTTGAAAATAAAATGTGTTTTAAATAATATATATATAATTGTATATATATATTTGTATAGTTTATTTATTTATAATGTTTTGTATTTTAGGTTGATCGACGAGCTATTACAGTATTAAGTCGTTGGCAACGGAATTATTCTATTAAGTCTGTCCTTCAAGAATTGCGTAGAGCAATGACTTTGAAAGATAACCAGAGGTTGAACCAGCCACCTGAGGGAACAGTTTTTTAGGAAATATAAATGTGAAGTTAAGCATGCAAGTCATTACTAAGAAATTTCAGCAATCATTCAAGACTGTTCTGTGCCTAAGATAATTTGCTAAAATGGAAAGGTAATTGGTGAATTATATATGGGATCTACAGATTTTAATGTTGTATCTGTGGCCCCTTATACTGCATGCATCTTGTAAACAGTTTGAATATTTAAATATTTGTTGAACATTATATTACTTGAATTCAGTGTTGTAAATTTAATTGTCATTGTAATTTCAATATGATTTTGTTTTAATAATAAAAAATGAAAACTGGTTGTTGTCAATAATAGTAATAGCAGAAGGGGCCACTAGATGTGAATGCCATATGTTAATGTTTTTTCTTAGGAAAGAAAAATAAGAAAATCACATTTAATATTCCAATTCCATATTCTCTACTACATTTATCCTCTGATCTCACTGGGTGGTGTTTTTGCAGCGTTTGTGAGACAGTAATGTTTAATTTTGCATGCATAAGTGCCACACCATCTTGATCTGCATTGCCTTGCAATGTCCCTTTCGTGAACACAGCTGTGAAAGAATGATGGAGTTTTCATTTGTGTATTTTTTTCTTAAATTTTTTTTAAACTTAGATATCATTCCTCATATATGAAAATTTAGTTAAATTGTTTTCTATATAATTATCAAAGATGTGGAAATAAATATTTATTCTATGTCAGTTATATAAGATTTGTTACCAAAGTTTTTAGTACATAATTAAAAATAAGAGATCATAGATGATACAGTAATTTATGTACAGCTTCTTATAAAAGAATGTAGCTGCAGTAATTTAGCAATGATTACTGATATGATAACCAATTTAAACTTTCATTCTGTGAACCAGAAAATTTCTTTCAAAAGTTACCTGTAATGATTATAATTTTGCTCAATGATGAGTTGTCTATAAACAGTTTTTGTGTCTATGATCACAATTGTCACAATTTTTGAAGATAAACTAAATGAAATATTTCAGCTTGCTATTGTATATTGTTATTTCTGTTACGTGAAATAATTTTCTTACCAGTTCACTGTAAATGGGCCATATTTTTTCCTTCCTTCATAATTATTTGTCTTTAGTGAAAATTGAAAATAATTTTATTGTATACTCCTGGAAAATATTAGAATTGTAATACATGTTTGGTAAGCACAAAGAAGCAATTTACAAACCTCTGTTGGCATTTACTCTACTAGAAATGATTGAACTGTACAGAATTATTGTCTTAAAATTATTGATACTCACATCTTTCCCCCAATGTAGAAATACAAAGCCAACAGAAATAAAATTGCATATATGATTCTAAATATATATTGATTATTAATCTAATAGAAAAAGCAGTATTTATAGCTTTTTTTAGTAAATTTAAAATGAAATTTTTTACTGTGACTAAATCTAACTTTTTATTTTTTAATTTAGATTTAATCTGATAAAGATATTATTCTTTAAAGAATGAATTCCATATTTATTTTAAAACTTGGTAAGATATTACATCAAAGTTTATTTTTCATTTATTAACTTGATTAGAAGTGACAATTTTAACACCTAACAACTGTCATATTCTTTCAAACATAGACATGTTTGATCTATTTATACTCATTTACTTGGTTTATTTCTATAGTTATAGATACTCCAGATTTTTAGCTCATTTTTAACTTGTCAGAGTCAAATTCATTTACTTGAAATTCTAAAGTATGAGAACAAACCAAGAAAAGTATACTTTATTTGAAGTAAAAGATAGAAAAATCTTTGCTTTTTCTCTTCAAACAAAACACATATTTGATAATTTGTAAAATTCATATATTTCATATCAAATAATTGGAAACTCAGTTTTTCTAGCTCTCTAGTTTAAATTTATTCTCTTACCACTACATTAGAAAAAGTTTCAGATGGTATCAATTTATTTTCAGCAGAGTAAATTAGTACTATTAACTGATTTTGAGGTAAATTTAAAATATAGGTAACCCCCGTATAACACGGTAGTTACGTTCCAAAAAATTGCCACGTTATGCGAATCCGTGTTATACGAAACAAAGAACTAATACGAAAAGAAGGGTTAGGTTCCAAAAATTAAAAACCATGCTAGTATATTTTCATAATTAAGATAAATATCTTCATTAAAATTTTTTAAGTGATACATATTAATATAAATTAAACAATATTTTCTTCGTCATCACTAAAAACACTATTAATTAACCGAGAGCGTTTTCTTTTTGGCAAGTTATCCTTATCCTCTGAGCATTTTTCTGCATTATCTTCAGATCCATGCTTTACCTTTTGCAAAATGTATGTAATTTTAGATTGCTTGCTTCTAGTTAAAAGGTCTTTATAAATTTCCTTATATGGTGCTAAGCACTTATGAAGAATAAAGCAAGTATGGAATAAGGGAAAAACATTCGGCAACATCAGAAGCAGAAGCGTCGCGATCTGGCAACATTGAAACAAGTTTCGAGAAGGACCACCTGTATCGACAGAAGGCGAGAAGAGAAAATTTACATACTTAAGTACTAATAGTTCACGAAAATAATAATTTTCGTGAACGAGGGTTTTACCCAGTTCTCGAACCGTGTCAGAGTGAATCCGTGCTATAAAAGTACCGTGTTATACGGGGGATGGTACCAATTCTCGAACCGTGTTAGAGCGAATCCGTGCTATAGAAGTGCCGTGTTATACGGGGGATGGTACCAATTCTCGAACCGTGTTAGAGCGAATCCGTGCTATAGAAGTGCCGTGTTATACGGGGGTTACCTGTATTAAATTGATTGTGCATGTAATTCTACACATTTTTCTATTAAATTAAGTGGAAATTTTAGTATATCTTCTCATTTTTAATTTATTAGATTGAAATTTGTTTGGATTGCAATTTTATCTGTTAATCAAATTCTGATATTTGGACGTTATCAGTGTTTGTTAGTAAAGATAATCAAGGTCTGTATAGTTCCTAATCAGTATTGGAATCATTTAGTTATTTTGATTTCATTAATTAGAAATTGTCAAATGTTTTTAATTAAATAAATTTTTCCATAATTTTTAAATACATTTGAATTTTTTACAAAAAAAATGATACATTATACTTTTATTATAGTTTAGTATCTTTGACACTTATATTGATCATTTTTTAACTACATTTCAAATTTTCTATAAATTTCAATTGTAAAATTTTAGAAATAGCTATTATTTATGTAATGAATAATGTGACATTTAATTTAAGCTTTTTAACCCATGTCAGCTAAGTAGCTCTTCATTTAAGGCAATGGTTCTCAAAGTATAGTCTGTAAACTGACTGTCATTTTTAAAATCAATTCTATACTGTTTATCCAGAGGAAATACAGTAATAATTTATGCATTACTTAATCTCTTTCATTAGGTTTGAGTAGACAATTTTTGATGTATACATATGATGATTTTTACAAAGGATAAGAAACAGATGAGTATAGACATTCTGTTTGTATTTGTTTGTTTGTGTGTGAGACTAAGTTTAAATGGTCTGTGGACCATGTAATTTTCAAACCACTGATTTAAGACAGTTTACTACTGTAAGGATATGGGGTTTCAGGCTTATTCAAGCTAGTCAATCCCATTGCAGGTCAGGTTCTCCCATATTGGACAAAATAGAATTTGGCCAAATAATTCAATGTGCTTGTACCCTGTAAGAAAAATTCAATCCATTTTAATCCATAGCTTCTTAAATTAGTAAGTAGAATCAACTTTATAGTAATTGCAGTTCTCTTGCTATGAAGTAAATGAAAAATTGTTAATTTTTTTGAAAATGATGAAAAATTAAATTTATATGCAATAATATCTAAAAAATAATGTAATTTCAGTAACTGAAAAAATGAAAAAGAAATTATAATCAAAGTACTATCTATGAAATGAAATTATGGAATATTCATTTCATATTTTTTTTTATAATTACTGAAATTATAAATTATCATGATTGTATAAAGTTCTTATTTTTAATAGCTTCCATTGATTTAATTAGTTAAAGTAATATAAAGAATTTGAAACTATTTATTTTGCACAATTATATTTTATTATAGAAAATATCATCATAAATGTTGGTGATTTTTGTGAAGTAAAACAAAAAAATGAGCTTAATATTACTAAGAAATTATCTTGCAAATTAAATGTTTAAAAATCAAAGACTATCTTTTTAGCATTTTTTTATTCACAGATTGTCTAGAATGGCATCACTTAAAATTGATTTTTTAATTACAAATTATTTTGAATAAGAATTTATTAATTTTAAAACTAATAAACATTTTTAAAATTAATTATCAGACTTAAATTTTGTTTGTTATAAAAGATTTGAGATTTGAAATTATATTAACTTTATACCACAATCAATCATTTAAGACAGCGCTGTCCAACTTATCATAGCCCGCGGGCCATATTTTCTTTACCAAACATTTCGGGGGTCAAGAAGGTTGATAAATGAAAAGTCAGTTTATGTTAATTATACTAAATAGTACCTACTTTATGCAAACTAAATAGTACCTACTTTAAATTCAAATTAGATTTAAATTTTCACATAGTAAAATAATTTTAATATTAATAATAATAATTTAGTAACAAATTTATTCATAGTAAAATGTACTTGCGAGCCGTAAAATTTATTTGACGGGCCGCCAGTTGGACAGCCCTGATTTAAGAAATGTTTTGCTATATGGAAGTGAATTTCACTATATATTAAGCTGTATATATTATTATTCATATTCATTCCATTATAATTGAAAAATAGTATTTCAGAATATATTTTTTTCAAATTGTAAACTTTATTAATAGTTTGATAATCTAGCCTCATTTACAGTTAAAAATTTAAGAAAAATTTTCTGTGTAATGTTAAATATCTTACAATTAAAATATTTAAAACACTATTAGGAAACAAGTTTTAGTATATATTCATAATTTGTAATACAATTTAAACTTCTGTTATCCTTTATCATCATCGAATCTTTGGTAGGGTAAATGGTACAGTTGTTGGATATCAGATAGTAATTGGCCATTTCAAATTTAAACCTCATTAATAAGAGTTTTATAAAAGCTATTTAAAATATTATATGGCAGTATTCACATAAATTTCTGCTATCAGTAGGTGGCAAAATCCCAGTAGGTTTTTCTGTAATGTTTGTCCAATAACTATATAATTTTACACTTGCATAAAACAAGCTATATTTTGGATTAAATGATTGCATTTGTAATTCCTAGATGTTCTAAGTAGAAAGGTGATAAAAAAAAACAAATCTATCAGGATTAATATTTCCTGATTTAATCTTTCTGTAATGTCTTAGAATTTTTTAAATAAAAATTTTGTTAAATGGCCGATAACTTTACTGTTTACCCTACATGAGTTAGAGTTAGAGGTAAATTTGGCCTCATTTTTGTACAGATCCTTATTATATAGATAGGTTATATAGTAAGGTTTTTTTTGCTTTTCACTTTAGAAGCAGAAAAGAACTGATAGCTAAATTATATTTTCTACCAATTCTTTTTACTTCCAAAATGATGTTCATTTTGATTAAACTCAAAGGTAAATATATCAGATTTAAATATCTGTATCAGATGTTTAAAGCTGGTTGATTTATAATACTTTTGAGGACAGTAAACACTCACTGAAATTTTGCTTAAAATCAATGTATAAAAAAATAAGGCCAAATTCATCTTTGGATATAACAGGTAGATTTTTGAAAAACTTAATGTGATGAATCAAATAATGAAGAAAATTCATAATGAATATTAACTAAATTTGAAATAAAGTTTTTATATATGTGGATTTTGGATTTATCCCATTTCCTTTCTGGATTCATCAGTAACATTAATCTGACTAACCCATTTGATTTTACATTCCAAAATTTAATGCTTAGGTGCAACTGATGATTTACACACTGTTGAATACAGTGCAGCTCAAAACTTTAGGGACAGGCATTATTTACTATTTTCACTAAAACCAAACAGATGTCTTCAGATGTCAAACCAAAAACAATTTATTTTTAAGGAATTAAATAAAAGTTGAATGTGATGACAAATACTGATTAATAATTTATAATTTGTACAATAAAATACATTTAAATAATACTCTCACTAAGTATGAATGCAACTTAGGTTTTTCCAGAGTAAAAAGTGCACTGTCAGAAGTGTGATTTCATATGATTTTCATCTTACATGCCTAAAAAACATTCAAGGAGGTTTCAGCCTAAATTAACAGATCTCATAACGTTGTAAATAAAATAACAAGAGATCCTATGAATTGCAGGAAGAATCCAGATGGAAGACCATCAAAACTAACATGCAGAGATAAAGCAAGAAT